AAATATATCCCTAGAAAGACTATCGCAAAGAATTTATATATTTTATTATATATTTATATGTATACATTTACTAGTAAGCTTATTTATTATTTTTTAAAGTTAAAGGACCGAAAAGTTGTGTTAATGTTTTAAAATTTCTTAACATGTTATTATTACCTTTAAAATACAAAAACATTTAAGTTTTGCCTATGGCAGCTTAGCCAATAACTAATCATGTTTGCCGACAGTTGAATACAAAAATGTTTTTCTAATTTGGGGTGTAACTAATTCCTTTCCATGTATCTCTGCGTGAGTGCGTGAAGTTATTTAACATACACTCTCAGACCAAGAGGCGAAAGAATGTGCGAGGCCTTTGGTGGCAATGTGAAGGCCAAAACAGTGAAAGTCGCAGTCGCAATCGCCGTTTCTGTCGTTCCTGTCGTCGCTGTCCTTTCGTTTGTCAAGGTCAGCCCAAGGATAACGCAAATTTACGTGCTGCCCTCAAACTTCGACACTTTAGAGGGGCGCCTGTTGTGTTGTGTTGTGTTTTTCTGCGATATTTCATCCTTTTGTTTCGCTCCACTCACACATGCACATGCTCGACTCTCGAGTCCTCTGTGTGTTTTATTCAATTTTTTATTCCACACAAAGGGAAAAGGATATGAGGGGTCTATAGCAGGAAATTGCTTGGTTTATGTCGGCGATAATCCACTGATGTCATTTGGCCTGCTTCACTGCATATCCTTCGGCTCCTTCTGCCAACTAAACTTCATATCTCTATCGACAGCTTGGAGTTAGCAGTTATCATTTTTTCGGGGCTCTCTGTTTGTCTTGGCTGTGGAAATTGTTCACGCATCCGGAATTGGGCAGGGAAAATTTACGCTTCAATTGCAAACTCCCTGTTCTGGGCGCCATTAGATATTTAGAGCAATGTGTTGCCATCACAGCCGTCAGGACACCGTGGCCAAATCTCCAATAACAATAACCCCACCGACATGAAAAGGACCTCCCACGCCGGAAAGTGTGAACCTTTGGCATTGACACGTCGTTGAGAGCTTTTTACAGTTTTTAAAAACAGTGGAAAGTCGATATGTAACATTTTCATGGGCCTAGCCAATATTAAGTCACATCTTTTCTTCTTGGAATTTTTGTCAACCTACAAAATGTTTAGGAATATAAAAATAACATTTTAATATGTACACAATAAGAAGTTTAAATTACTTTCATTATGAATTATAAATAATTTGTTAAAAATTGTATTTTTAGAAAACAGAATTAGTTCAGTTTACCAACATTTTTTTTTAATATTATATTTGTCTTAGTGTTATTAGAATTTGTATTTATAAAAAGCAAAACTAGTACAATATACATTTTTATGTTTTAAATTTCTATCCGTTTTATTGATGTCCAACTGCCAGCAGCTATTTTTTTTGTTGGCTGCTCATTTTTGGTTTCCGAATAACAACGACTTATGTCGAGGACATTGTCATTGCTGCTCACATATATTTATAAATGGTTAAATATAAACGCACAATGGCAAATTGGCAGAGGACCTGCCACACCCACTTAGCCGCCCCCTCGCGGATCCTACGAAAATAGCTGGGGCATTGTGTAGAGATATGGAAAATCGAACCGAGAACATGGAGCACAATGAAGCTGCGCTTGAATTGCCACATCAGGTGGGCCTCTTTATAAGTAGGGGTGTGCTTCCATGAAAGCAGAAGGTCCTCTGCGCAGTTCATTGGGCTTGACTTGCTGTTTGTTTTATTTCCAGACGCGCTTTAATGTCGTTTATATTTATACAATTTGGGCGCCAGCCACGCCCCCCGTAGACCTTGGCCGCGGCAAGTGCAAGTGCCTATCGGCCACCCAAAAACCCCCACCCAAACAACCCCTCCAAAAGTCGCCGGTTTCTGAATCGAAACACAATGAAAGGGTCGTCCGGTCGCTTTTTACAACAGGAAGGGAACGGCGCCTTTTACGACAAAAGGCAGTCAGCCAGGCAGCCATCCATCTCGTCATCCTCGAACCGTTTTTCCTTGAGTTCTCCCCCTTTCCCGCCTACTTCTCCATTCACTTTTCCGGGCTGCGTCCTGCCGCAGTTCATCAATTTATTTAGCATTTTTATGCGCTCCGCGGCAGCAAAATTGTTTAGAGCGGCTTTATTGATTTCATTAGCGGCTTTTAAGAGCCAATAAAGGCAACGTAGTCGATGGTAGCACTAATTTTCCCCTGCATATTCAAGAGACTTTCGCCGAACTTCGCTTACCAAAGGATTTGCATTAATAATTCACATTTCGAATGCAATAAATCGCTGTTAGCACAGCCACCGACATATTTCATAAATTCTTCTTTTTCCGCGCCTGAAAAATTCATAAAATGGTAAAACACGCACTTTAAAAAGAAAAGGAAGAAAAAGTAATCACCGAGGCCAGGAACTTTTTACAGCGCTAGTCGAATTTAAGCGCAACATTGTGACTTTTTAGCCACTGCGGCTTGCAGATGTGGCAGAAAGTGAGTTTTGATTTCATTATGGCGTTCATTTGTCACCATATTTTATGATGGGATGGCTGGTCATATCAACATTCCGCTGAGTTTTGCTCATTCGCCGTTGTTTAATGAGCGTTTTTAGTTACATTAATGAGCAAGCAATGTAGTAAAACCGAAATTATTAAAAAATGTATGTTTAAAATTATATTAAAGTTAATGCACACTTAATGGTAATGCTAAAATTTCGATTTTTTTTATTAGCTTAAGAAAAAAAACAAGTTATTAGTATTCTAGAGCGTGTATAATATATTAATAAATTACATTAAATCAACATTAGGCTAATCTTTAATAAATCTGAATGATACAAACATATGAAAACCTATTTGTATACAGTATTGTATTTCAGTGAGTACATCTTATGCTATTATATAACAAAATGATTAAATCTCTCCAGTCCAATAACCAGCTAAATAATTCAAAAACCATGTTTTTGTTCAAACAAGAGTATTGAAGCTGCAGACCCAAAGGCTCGACCTTCTTATTTGTCTATAATTAAAGGCATTATAAGTCGGCGAAGCGGAAATGCCAGACAGCGATTTTGTAATTGCGTGTATGTGAGGCAGCCACATACAAAAGACACAGCCATAAATAGAATCCGATTCCAGAACATAAGCTTCCAACAATAATCCAAACAACCGAATAAAATTCCCCCTTTCTTCATTCCTCCGGAGACGCGAATTTGACTTTGCCCAGCAACAAAGTCATCAAAACAATGATTGCAATACATATTTGGGGCAACACAATTTCGCCACCGTTCTGGCTAAAGGATCAGAAGGACGAGGGGATGTGGCAGTGGCACGACAGAGCAGCGAACTCCAGTCGAAATGCCACAAAATACAAACCCGAAACGTGGGAGACAAACACGCATTTCGGTTCATTAACCAAACCCAACAAAAGAAGGGAAAAGGACGAGATAGCCAAGGAATGGGGAAAAACACTAGTAGCTAACGGAAACAAAATTACCAGCGAGCAAATAAAATGTCGTCGAGGGTTTGACGCAGCCTTCAACTCCAGTGATAAGCTGAAAGTGGGTGTAGAAGGGTGGTGGAGAAAGGGGCTTTGGGGGGCAAGGACCTTCCTGAAGGATGAGCTTCAGTCGCAGCTTATTGTGTGCAGCTTGCAACGTTCCTCGTTTTATTAGTTCCGCGCTTATCCACCATTTTGGCAGTCGTTATTTGGCTGATTACGGGCAAGGACACGCTGCATCCACGGCTACAGATGTGCCATATACTTACTACATACATCTGGAGCGGAGCGTTGATGTGCTGTAACCTCCCTTCCACATTTTTACAACGTTCGCACAACAAAGTTTAGCGGGCAATCGAAGGTGTGGAAGTCGCAGATTGCCAACTAAAAGTAATCTCTCGCACTGGGGAAAAATGTAATTTAAAATAAGAAATATACTTATACATTACTCATACGATAAGTCATCCAGGTATTGCTGAGTTATAAATTAGTTTTAAGTTTTATAATCATGCCTTAAAATTTTACGACTTGTAAATTATTGGCAAATAAAAATAAATGTAAGATTTGGATTGAAGTTATTTATTCGACAGGCCTTCCAAAGTACTAAATATGTTTAAGGAATATTTCTGTTCAATGATTAATTCTTGTATATTTACCCTTTGTTTAAATATTCGTGAAACTGAAAGAAAACTTAAAAATATTGATTGGATCTTAAATATTCTTCTGATAACTTGACAACCTATACAGTTTTTTCGCAGTGAACTTTAAGGCGATGCAGAGCGCGGTCCCTGTCTATCTGCACCCCCATCAGTGTATCCCTATCTCCATTTGTATCTCTGGGTTTGACTGTGGGTCATTAGTGAGCTAGAGCTGCGTAGTACATAGTTTTGCTCCGGTTTGCTCCACTGGCCTCTTGTTCATTTTCTCATTAGTCAGTCAATACACGCAGCACGTTTTGTCCCCACATTGTTACGGCGGACACCTCCACCCGGGGATGGTATCCCTTTGAGAGAAGGACACAAGGACGAAAAGGGAAAGAAATGCGAAAATCAGGCACACATGCGAGCTGCCCTCGGAGAGTTGTTTAAGATGCGTTGCATCGCACTTTCGCACTTTGCTGACTGCAACTCTTGCAGCTGTCTATCCATCTTGGCCATATCCCTTTTTTCCCACCGCCTGACTGACTGACTGGCTGACTGGCTGACTGGCTGACTGACATACTTACCCTCCTGAAGAGGCGGGTTCAAGGGGCGTGATCCGAAAATGTAAAGTGTAAACTTTTTGCCAGTTGTTTGCTGAACTGGCACTACACTTTGTCTTCTTGCTTGGCTGGCCATCAGCCATCAAGTGTGGCAACTCATGGCATTTGCAGTCCTTGAAAGCCATCCTTAAACCCCCTGGAAAACCGCAAATCCGCAATGATTCCCTTAGTGCCCATGCTCGGACTGAAATTTAAATAAGACAAAGTCATCACCGAGAGTTCTTTCTTAGTTGTCGCTTTTTAATCTCCTTGCGTAGTTTTGTATATGGTAGTTACAGTATAGTACACTCAATATATAAATCTATGTTTGCAGTTTGCAGCTTAGCCTAATATGCGTGGCAATCAATTGAGATTGAGTTTCTGACTCTGTTGCCAATCTTGCTTTGGAGCTTAAGGATAATGCATTTACATGTACACTTAGGGCTAGACATGCTTGCACACCGATACACAGACACAACGAGGACTCTATGAGCTATGTATGTCACTTATGCGCTACCATATTCAATATTAATAATTGCCATTTGTTTGGTTTGCCGCTGCCATTGTTTTCCCTCGACTTTCCATCATTTCGCATCCTACTTCGCTTTGTTTGTTTTGAAAACAATGAGCAACATTCTTCCATCCTCTTGAGGGCCAATGATTTGTTTCTACTCATCCACTAAACTGACGTCTCGCCATTGTTATAAGTTTTTCTCAACCAATCCTCTTCCCTATCCTCAATTTATTTTCTGTCCTTGTGGTCGGGGGAAATCAATCCTAATTGCACACATTAATTATTGCAAAATCGGAATCGGATGAGCTGACCCATCATAAGCATACATGTAATAATACACAAATGGATGGGGCGAACCCTTTGAAGGATTAATTCATTAAGCTGCCGCCCTGAATTCTCTAACTTTCGGCTGTCTTAAGCACATTTAACATTCACTCTATGTGTATTCCTATAGTTCAAAGAACGTAATGAATAATGGGCATAATGATCAGACAATTTGCAAGTGCTCCTTCTGTGATTTTGTACTTGAATCTCCTACAAATGGGAACTGGTCTTGAAGCCTGATTGTTCGAGTCCTTACTGAGGCTATGTTTAGTTGGTATAAATTCATATTGCACCCGTAGAGTTAATTTCAGTTAATAACAAATAAGTATAGAGTAACAGAAAGCTAGTTTGAGCGATGGAAGGAGTCGAAGTAAAGCTATTTACAGTTTAGTGTAGTATTTGGGTTTGAGAGAGTCAGGTACTTGGACAGGTTGAAGACGTAGCTTTCAATTCAATTGCTAGAGGTTTGAGAGATATACAGAAATTAATACATCTACATAATGGAAGATCTAAGATATGAAAGCTAACAGTAACACTAATTCCCACTATGCAACCACCGCCAGTGACTGAAACCCAAAGGGAAGGGCGATATAGAGGGCTTGCCTGCTGCATAGTGTTCTATCACCGATCGATAAGCTAATGAGTGACTAGGCGAGACTAGATTGCTATGTACACACTTTGGGTGGGTCGATTTATAGGGAGGTATAGCAAATCAATGGACATTTCTAAGCAATTTTGGTTAATAAAGGGTTACGGAGATAACTTGAACTTTGTTTTTTCTTTCTTTAAAAAAAATTGTGTTACATTATTTATAGCTTATTTATTTAAAATTTAACTTAAGTAGATTTACCTTAAATAATGCAAAATATTATACATTTATTAATCTTAATGATAGATAGAGATATTACCTAGGAGAAATAGTATATAAAAATATGTTGTTAATTGGGATATGAAAAACTACATTTTTAATGAAACCATAAAATATTAAAAACCATTATCTATAAATTATAGTTTTCAAGCAAAATGGCTTAGAACTGTCCACAGTTTTCTTGTCGCTCTTTTATATTTCTTTTTATCGACTTCCCTTGAAAACACACACCTAAATGATTAAATCTTACAACTAAAGTCTGGGCTTTGATTTGTGGTTCTGGTGCTGAGTTTACTTGACCGAGGAGCTGGAGGAACTCGATGCCTCCATCGGCTGGCTCTCCAGTTGGGGCGTGGTCTCCACCAGGGCGAGTCCGATGCTCTCGCTCTCGCTATCGGTGGCCTCCTCGTCGTCCTCCACGTCGCCCAGAGTGGTGATCTGGCTCTGGACACTCTGGCACTGCTCCAGGATCCTGTGGTGGTTCCGCATCTGGGCCTGGTCCTCGCTGGCATCGATGAGCGAGGGTGCCGAGGTGGTGTCCGCCACTCCGGCGCCACCAATAGCTCCACTTGGGGATCCCAGCGAAGCATTGGAGCTGCGCAAGCGTTTCATGCCAATCATGGGCATGAAGGACACATGGTGACCCGATGAGTTTGAGTGTCCTGGCGTCAAGGCTTTCAGGCTGGGGGCTAGAGGTGTATTGGCCCCACTGACGGACCCCCCTGCCCCACTCAACGAGGGTGGCACCGAGGCAATGGTCAGGGTGGACACCGAGGAGGGACGTCCTCCGGCTCCCAAGTGCAGGGAACTGGCCGAGGCAGCCGCCACCGGAGGAGCACTGATCGTGACAATCGTCTTGGCCAGCGCACTGTTCACCGCCGTGGTGGAACTGTAGTCCCCGCGCATCTGCATCCCCGAGCTGCGGCGCCTGGAACGGTGGTGGTGGCGATGGAAGCTCTGGCATCTGGTGCAGGATCGCTGCGAGGACGAGGGCGTGGCCGTGCCGGAGGAGTGGTGCTGGTGGTGGGCGGATCGCGAGCCACCGCAGTTGCTGCCACCGCTGCAGGTGCTGCAACTGCTCAGCTGTCGTCACATGAGCGTGCGGTCAATCTGGTTCACCGAGTGGTAGCCGAAGGAGGTGCTGGCTGCCACCATTGCAGCGGCCACATGGCACTGTGAGAAACAAGAGAAAAAACACAGAACAAATTGAACAAGAAATTTAAAAAAGAAAAGAAAAGTGCCAAAAGAATAAAAAAAAAAATTAAAAACATAAAAATGAATTTATAGCAAATGAAGACAATAACATCATAATAGACAAAAAAAGGTTAAAATAAAACGGCATATCAAATATAAATTGACATTCGAAAATAAATATTAAGAAAATAAAATAGTTCCAACAAGATTTAATGAGAATAAAAAGGAAATATGAGCAATAAAAGATGGGAATAAGAACAATTAAATTTAAACAAGTCAAATGAAAGACAACACCAAAGGCAGAAAGAGAGAGAGGGGTGAAAAAGAAGAGAGGCGAGAGAAAAGCATTTAATTAACATCTTGTTGTCTTATTTCGCCTCGAGTGTTTGCATACAATTTGCAGGCAGTGTTTCCGGGAGTGTTTTTCTTTTTTTTCCGAGTGAGAGTGTGGCTGTAAACAAATTGCCGTTTCAACGCAGCAGCCGAAGTAACAAAGCAACAAAGTGAAACGACAACAACAACAATGAACAGCCAGAGCAACAATAACAACAACACCAGGGCGCAGAAAAATGTTGGGGGCGTGGCAAACAACAATAACAAGAGAGACGAAAACTTTTTGCGGCTTTGCTTGCAGATTTCCCCTTGATTTTCTTTCATTATCTCTAGCCATTTTTTTTGGGTGCGGTAAAAGTCAAAGCAAAATGCATGATTGAAAACAACATAACAATGAAAGTTGGAGGAAAAACTAGGAAAAGAGCAACAACAATCAGCCATAACAACAACAAAAGAGTGGGAAAATAGGAAAAGAAAAGCGGTAACTGAAATTCCAATTTCTGCTTTTCTGAGAATTTTCAATTTTTTCTTTTTTTGTGAAGGGGCAAAGAGTAATAACAGTAACAACAACATTATCCAAATTTTGTGAGTGTGCGTGTGTGTGTTTTTGGGTAAATTCCAAGGACTTTGCTCTTCTGGGATCTTTGCATGATGCAAGTGGCTTCCACCTAACTGGATTTTAACTTTTCTCCTTCCAAAGATCCCATCATCTTCGGTTGGCCAATTCAATTACTGGCTTACAGGCGCCTCCTTCAGGTCGTATAAAATTCTTAAGTCCCTCACCCATTTGCGTACAATTTACATTGCGTATACGCCGAGTGGTCTGCTGGTCTTTGGAGTGCGGCCGCAATTAGCTTAAATAATTGAAGAGCCAGACCGGATGGCCCGCTTAGCAGACGCCCCAGGCAACTTGGTGATTTGCAATTTTTATAGCCCCCCGGCGATCCCGAAAAATAAGAGCTGGGTTGGGAAAGTTGAGAGCTGGGCAAATAATCATCTCTGTCGATTCGTTTTCAACCATTTTAATGGGAATTTAAATACTAAAATCGGAGATTAATAGTGTGAATACTAAAAAAAACATTAACTCCAAATTATTTCTCTTTAATTGTTTTTTAATTATTATAAGATGTTCTGAATGCTTACCAAAGACTTTTGAATTTAAAATCCCCAACTAAATAAAACTGAATTTAAAATATTCTCAAAAAAAAATGTAAGTGCGGTAAAGTTTAAAAGAAACATGTAAAAGTAAAATCTGGTAAATTTTGCTGTTTCTTACCTTGATTAAAAAACTCGCCAGTCATTATATTTTCTACCGTTTTCATTTTACTTTATGTCATAAAGCGGTCTAATCTAGAGCTATTAGCGGCGTAAGTATTTTTACCATAACGTTTTAGTGACTCACAAGTCTGCCTAGGGGCTTGTCACCCAAAAAAGACCTTTCGTGTGAAACCGCAAGAGGTCAATGACACCGTGAAGTGGGCAGTTTCGCGCACGAACTTGTTGCGGCCACGCCCATTTTGGTAATTTATTGCCTGGCACTCAATAAATTTCTACGGGGTCCTGGGACTTGGCGGCTTAACCGGCGACCTTGCAGGCAGGGAGTCACGATTTCCATCACCCCACCCCCACCCCTCTTCTTTGAATCCTGCGACAGGACATTAAAAGTTACATGGCTGCGTACACAAATTCCCACGGACCAAAACTCGGACTTCCGCTCCGACGGCTCTGTCACATAATTATAAACGTTAATTTCACGTTCACAGTCAATTAGGGATAATTGATGTTTGCGCAACATTTGTGGTAAATTACATTTTGATGTTCGTCCTGCCCGAGAAATGAGCCATTATCGACTCTATATATTAGGGATGTATTTGGGCGTCCTGCAAGAGTATATTCCTGATTATTGTTCCATTTAGTTCGCCTCAGTTCAGTTCAGTGGTATGAAATCAGTTTGATTAATCGGTTAAGCAATTTTGTTTTCGAATTCAATTTAGCTTTTGTTCTCATAAACAGAACAAAGGCTCGTCCAATAATTGATGCAATTAGCAGCGATTATAGCAGCAGAGGCAAAAGCAGCGGTAGCAGCCACAATGATCAAAATATATATTAAGAATTGTTTAAAGTACGTGCTATTTGCCTGCAGTTTTCGCCTTTCTATTCGAAGGCCCCAAATCGAAGCAGATCCGATGTGGGAGTTGGCCTCCGGTTAGCCAGTGGTTTCCTCTGCAAACAGTCAGAATCACAAATTCCTGGTTTACAGCTTACATATTTATGCTAAACAGCCTCAGTTGCGATTGCGTGTGGGTGTACGATTTGTGTGTTAGGTCTGACTAGCTGGCATTTTCAATCAAAACATCTTGTTGCGCTTGGGTGCACTGAGAAGAAATCAGCACTAATCTAGTCCGCTTCTCCTTTTATTTTTTTAATATGTTAATCTTTATGGAATCTAAATCTATTCAAAATTATACCTATATATTTATTATTCTATAAATATATTTATGTTGCTAAACTATTGTGAGAGGACGACATACTATACATCTAATAGTTTTTTGTTTTAAAATCATTATTGCTTCGAACTTTCGGTAATAATAAAATATTACATATCTTATTATTATTCTGTAACAAATGAATTAAAAACAAATTAAAAATAACAAGAAGGTATCTAAAATATATATAAGCGTTATTGCCATCTATTGTAGCTTTTGACAAATACTTTGCCTGTATATAGCCGTCTAAATAATACAATTTCAATTTCTGACATTTATAATGTCACTGTAATAAGCCATAAATATAATAATTTTCGATATGTAAAGTACCCAATGGATGACCTTTTTGCGATTTTTCCCCATGTGCACGCACACTAAAGATGCCAGTCGAAATGGTATGCAAATTGGCCCTGCCAGGCAGGGTGCTTGTGTTTGGGTGGGTGGGCTGTAGTCCTTTACGGCTCATTAGGACACCGAGTGGGCCGAGTGGGCCTAAATGTCAGGCGACCCACAGATGACGGTCGGCGATTAATCAGCGTGCTGAGTGTGCATGTGAAAGTGTGGGTGGCATTAAAGCTGAATGAATCTCCTGTGAAATTAATTTTAAAGTGTCGAACAGGAACACTCAGACAGCTGCAACTTGTGGTTCACCACAATGTGCTTGAGGTGGCACAAAGATGGGCATCAGTGCGGCTGGCGATGCCCAGACTTTCGAGGGAGGAAATCGAGTCCTTTCAGGCTGTGGCCAAACCACACGTCTGCAATATCCTCATTTGACCAAAGCCCATTTCCATTTGTCGTACATCAGGCAAATTGCGACTGCCGGAAGTCACCTCATTTGTCGGCCAAGCGGCAAGTCCTTCCTGAGCGACTGATTTGCAATAAATTAGACAACTCGAAGACAGATAGCACGCTAAATAGTGTTTATCTTCTTTTTAGGTTTAGAAAAAAGTATAGTTCCTTTTTTATCAACATTATTTCTTTGGTTAATTTAGCTACAAGAATTGAATAAATCTAACTAATAAATACTTATCATCAATGTCATTTGTGCCACTAGGTGTATACGCAATTTTCACTTCAGTTTCCTTCCATTTATTTCACCATTTTTCACAGTACCCTTGTGAACAATTATTTTAATTTACCATGTTTTAGTTAAATTATACAGAACTTTCTTTTAAATTTAGTGCTTTGTCGTTGATTTATATTTTCTGCAAAGTTTTCAGACATAATAATTTGTAACTGGAAAGAAAATTCAAAAAGTATACAAACTTTATTCTTTGGCAATCTTCTCTCCTTGTTTGTGAGAAAAACTCTAAGCTTTAAACCCTCTACTGTTTTATTTGAGAACTGAACAATGCCATAAAGTGCAAGGTTTTTTATTTAAGTAACCTTTTAAGTAATCCTGACTATTGAACCTGAATCAAGCAATACCAAGTTTGAATGCTCCATGTGTGGGCTCAGTCGTGCCCAAAGTTTCACATCCGCGTTCGCCGAATGCCGCTTTCAATTGGCTGTGGAAACACTTGGCAAATAAATTGGCATGCTCTTGGGTGTAATTGATATGATGACAGACACATCGCAAAAGAAAAACCCCAAAATCCTAAAGGAGCGGATACGGAAAAGGCACCAGATCGCACACATCCGCAGCCCCTCACCCATACAACCACCAGGGCCAGACACATATTGACTGTTGATTGCTGTAAATAACATTTTCATCAATACAATTACATGTGGTATGTGCGAATGTGCGGGCTGTGTACGCTTATCGCCGAGGCGAAAATTGAGTTGGAAATTTTTAAGTGCAAAAAATGTTTATGGTTCACTTGATAACATTTCTCAAGTATCGTGTGTGCGTGACTCTTTTGTGGGTATTTTCTTTGGTGTGGGCGAACTAGGGGCTTCCAAAAAAAAAAGCCTGACTCAGATGGTACGAAGAGAAGGTCAAAAAGGCCGGTGTAGTATAAATTCAAAAATAATAAACAGCGAACTAAAAAATGAGAACCCTTCCTTCGCGACCATAAAATGAAAAGAAAAGGCTTTTAAACTTTACACACAATTTAAATTGAATAAATAAGACTTTTTTGAATAGACTAAAAAGTACCTAATACTAATTTGCTGTAGTTTTAAATATTGTAATCAATTTTTTAACCAAATTTAATTTTTGTGGAGACGCTTTTATTCAAAATTAATCAAGAAATACGGCAAAGTTTAAAAAGTGAACAAAACTTATGTTATATTTTTGGTAAATTGGTTTCCTTTTTAAGTGCTTGAAGTTTTTGACTAGTTGCCATTTTAGTGCCTTTTATCCACTTTAATAATAGCTTTCAGCCCGACACCCAAATGCTCGTGTCTATTAAACCCGATCCGGTCTATACTTAGGCTTTTTCATCTGCTTTCCTGAATCATATATACCATTTTTCCTTTGCCAGAAGCGGGTATAAAAAGATCAACAATACTTTATGAGGGAGCGGGTGCTTGTGTTTCGGTTTTCCTTGTTTCGCCATTGTGTACACTGGGAAAATCTTTTGTGAGTGGCGACAGCAACAGTAACAGTAACAAGAACAACATCAACAAGAGCAAGAACATGGAGAGCAAAAACAGCTACGGAAACGGTGACAAAAACGATGAAAGGACATTGTGTCCTGCAAGTGTGTGTGAGTGTGTGTTGGTTGTGTGCCCGGAGACTTTGTGGAAACTTTCGATTTTATTTTTTCATTGTTTGTGCTCTTTTCAGTCTTATTCAGCTTGTCTGCAACAACATTACAAAAAACAACATCATCAAACGAAGACGGACTCAGGTGTTGGTGCCCAGGGACTTTTTTTTGCGTCGCTGGACCTTTTTTGTGGCTCAGTGTGTGTGTGCTTTAAAGTGTGTGTATGTGTCTATACAGGTGCAACACATTCAACAGGTGCTTGAATCACAGTCTGTGTTTGCTTTGTGCTCTTTTGTAGCAAAGAAAGCAAACCAAGAAAACATATAAGTAGGCGGGTGTTCACGAAATCTCTGGAGGGTTTTTTTTTGTAAACATTTTGAAAATTATCATTTATGTAAATTATTTAAGGAAAATATTTATGCCTTTCATAATATTGTATGCCATAAATTAAATCAATATTTGCGTCGTTTTAATATTTTTTTGAATTGAAGAAATGAATTGAATTTAATAAAATTTGCACTTATGTTTTTTTTTAATATTGGCTATCTTAAGAAAATTAAAAATTTTTTTTAAAGGTTTGGGTAGTAGTTTAAAAACTAAATATTTGTAAGGCATAACTTATATATAACTTTTGGAGATTTCAGGAACACACCGCATAGAAAAGGAAATAAGGACACAAGCAACAATGCCATGGCCGAGTCAACAAACAAGAGTGAGTGAGACGGCGCAGTCACAGACAGAGACGGCAACAGCAAACAGCAACAGTAACAGATGCAGAAACCAAGGAACGGAGACAGGATGCTCGTGTTTATCCCCCAGCTCTTTATGTGGGTGACTTTGGAGGACACAGACACAGACAGAGACAGAGAACGGGGAACAGAGAGAGTCGGAGACAGGACACAGAGTCACAAGTCGCTTACCTTGCCATTGACTTACGAACAAAAACGCAGGGCGCCAAGGGGTCGTAATCATTGTCAACTAAATCTACGCTAAACTATATGTAAGTCTGCTCGCAGGAGTTGTGCCGCACGTGCTGAATGCCGTGCAGCGAGCAGGTCGAGTAGCAGCGCCGCGTCGCGAATCTCTGCAAAATCAAGAACGCCGCCGGAATCACAATCAGCTCGATTCGCCAGACAAGGCGGTACTATATATAGGATGGAAGGTATATGAGGGCGGTAATGACGGCGATGGACTTAATGCTATGACGACATGAGCTATTTCGGGAAAGGCCTCATGTTCCAGGAGCTGACACTTTAAGTGTTTTTAACAGGTTGGAAACTTACTTTCAGTAAAACGTGTATCATTTACTGCCTAGACTGACACTTCTTTAAGTTTCAAGGAAAATATTTATTAAGGTATGATTGACACAAGCGATTTTATTCAATATATTTCCAATTTGTTTATATGTTGTTTTCAAACTAACTTTACAAAGTGTAATATTTAAATTTTATTTTTAAAAGTTATTTTCAATGCACAAAAAAATAACTATAATATAATTGTCAAAAAGTGTGTTTTGTTTCATTTTTAAAATAAAGTCCAAAAAAATTATATTTATTGCTTACAATTCAATTTTTTCAAAAAAATATGACTCATGGTGCATGTTGCCTTAAAGATTACGTGCTGTTTTCTTTGCTGAACTAACTTTACCTTTGTTTATAATTCTCTTATGAAAATGAAATGAGTTTTCTGTTTTTTTTTTAAATTTTAAAAAGTTCAGACAAGTTTGACTGAACTGCCAAAACCAAACACGTGGCTTTGGGGTAATTACTTAACAACTCTATTGACAGCAAGTCCCAGCAAGGAAGACAATGGATCTCTCCATCACAGAACAGTGGATGCAGTGCTTCCATTTCCATTCTGCCCAATCCCCGGCAACCTACTCAGGTGCAGCCAGAGTTGTCAAACATCAGAAAATTATTCATTAAAATCAACCAGAGGGTTGAGGGTGGACATGTTGAGTGATGCGCCCCCCAGATGATTTATACAGGGATTCGTAAATGTGAGGATGTCAGTGGGTGTGGATGAGTTTTGAAGCGGATGTCAGGAAGCTACCATGGGTCTCTGCCATGTGTTAACGGAAGTCGTGGCCAGAAATTTTTGGTTCGAGAGCACCTCTTCAGCTTTTTGTGTGCATATTCATTAGATTTGTAATTTAAAATTGGCCGTTCGTTGAGTTTTGTTTCGGAGCATACAAAAACAAGGACGACCGGCAGCGCGTAATTCATGAAAGCGATTTCCATCAACCAGTTTTCCTTTGCCCCCCAAATAAGAGTGGATGCAACAACAACTCATCCAAAAGGAAAATACGGAAAAACTGCGAAAGTTCCGCAGACCGTAAAAACGAGAAAGAGAATCAAATTGAATCGCGTGGAGGGGTTTTTAATTTGGACGGGAATTGGGAGACTCACCTGCGACTTGGAACGCATCGTGGGCTGGTACTTGCGGCGAATCTTGCGAGGACAGCACATGCACAGCAGTCGTACAAAAGCCCTGGAAGAGAAGCCAGTTAAGGAACAGGTCCGTAAGGGGTTAAGCTCAGAACTCAAAAGCCACAAAAACGCAGGCTAAACAAAAATACCACATACGAAGTGTAGTTCTTGGGGCATTGAGGGTGCCCTTTTGAAAGTAAACGGAAAATAAATATCATTGTTATTGCCATCAAAATATATTTTCAAAGTCCTAGTGGACAGAACTTTTGTCCTTGTAGTAAGATGAAATGCGATTACCTATTCAATGTAATATTTAATTTGATACTTCAAACTTTTATCCTATACAAATATTTAAGTTTTTAAGAATATGTAAAAAGGGCATATAGATAAATGTACCAGAGATATATTGACGTGCTTAAAAAAGGACATACTTTAATTAGGGATTCCGATATTAGTTAGTTTATTAAAGAAAAAATCAATTATAAATTAAAAGCTAAAATATTTACTATTTTCATTTGATCATAACATTGTTTGTTTTGCAATTTTTATTCTCTTTAATAAAAAAATGGTTATAATCAATTCTTCTAGGCGTTTTAGTGGCATTCCACTCCAAGCTTAAAAGATAATCAAAAACACTTAGCTTACCTGCGGAAGTCCCTGCTCCAGCAGGCATAGATCACAGGATTCATGCAGGAGTTTATCCAGCCGAGCCAGGTGACGATTGCCGACACAATCTCCTCGTGCTCGATGCACTCTATGCAAAACCCGGACAGCAGATTGACCACAAAGAAGGGCAGCCAGCATATGATGAATACGCCCATCACGATGCCCAGCGTCTTGGCCGCCTTCTTCTCCTTGGCGAATTTGGCCAGTTTCCTGGACAGCGAGAAGTTCTTGCCCATGTGCCGATGGCGGGCTAATCCATTGTTATGGAGAGCGGATAGTGGCTCATCGTCGGGTTCCTCTGGCGTGGATGTCGTCGTTCCGCCTCCGTGATTGTGGTGATGGTGGTGCGAATGGGAGTGGGAGTGGCTCAGGGATCCTCCGCCACCACCACCGCCTCCTCCTCCACTTCCTCCGCCCCCCGAAACCTGATTCGCCTGATCGCGGGTGGTGCCACCACGATGTATACGCAATGTGAGCTGCAGTTCACCGGAGGCCATCAGCACCTGCTTGGTGCCTATCTTTAAGGATCTCGTTTGGATCACAGCTGCCCTATAAATCCGACAGTAGGTGAAGACCATCACCAGGAGCGGCAGGTAGAAGGATATCGTCGAGGAGAAGACCAGATAGCCCAGGTGCTCTGTAAAGGTGCACTTGTAGGCCGGCATCTCGCCATCCCTCGCCGCTCGCCACCAAACGATGGCCGGAAAACTAATGGCACTCGAGCAGATCCACACGGCGGCTATCAGTCCGGCTGCCCTTTTCACTGTCATCCTCATGGGATAACTGAAGGGGTCCGTTATGGCCCAGTAGCGATCCAGCGATATGACACAGAGATTCAGTATGGAAGCGGTGCTGAAAAGCACATCCAAGGATCTCCAGATGTCGCACCAGTCCGTGCCAAAGAACCATGTGTTCTCCAGGACCTCATAGAGGGCCGAGAATGGCATGACCACCAGACCCACCAGGCAGTCGGCCACCGCCAGACTGGTGATGAAGTAGTTGGTGGCCGTGTGCAGGTACCTCTCCCGGATGACGGCCAGTATGACCAGGGAGTTGCCGAAGACCGTGGCGAAGGAGAACAGGAAGAGGAAGGCCAGCAGACCCACTCTGTCGTTGGGCAGGGCCTCCAGGAACTCGGAGAGATCGGGTTCCGGCGTGGTTGTGCCACCACCACCACCACCAACACCACTCGTCACCGTTGCCGTGGGACTCAAGGTGGTGGCGTTAAGGACTCCAGTTGCCAGCTCCGTGCTCGTGGGCAGCCCATTGAAGTAGAAGTAGACATCCTCGGAGATGTTGTAGCTGCCGAAGAACGGCGGCGGTGTCGGCGGCGGAAAGTGGGTCTGCGTCTTATTGAGGCCATCTCCTCGGAGGAGCGCCAAAAGGGGGGCGGCTCCTTCCGCTTCCGGCGACTCAGTGTCCTCCACCATGGCGGCCGTGTCTGCAACTCAGTGCTGTGTCGCTGCAGCTGACGCGAGTCCCTGTGCCAGTTCCTGTTCCAATTTCTGCCGCAGTTCCTGCTCCTGTTCCTCCTGCTGCTGCTGCTGATGATGATTTTCCTCAACAGACAGTCCGCGACTGCCAGCCAAATTAATGAAGCGCATTTTCATGTCCTTGGCCAGGACTCGCCGCCGGGCTGCCAAGCTGTCGACAAAAGAGATAGAATGGCTGGTGAACACAATGCAATCAGGACAAACTTAAGATAAAGTTAGGGTGTAATACGTTTTATGGAGATACGAATTATTTTAAATACAATTTTATGGGTCCTTGTGAATATATATATTAGCTTTTGTATTTTCTGTCTACTTCTGCTTTTAATAAACATTTTCGACCATAAAAATCTTGGGACCACATTTACGGTTTATTTAAGACTTATGTTTTAAAAGGCCTACTGCATTTTTTTTTGTATGTTTACCAATCTGTCTGATTTTTATTCAATTTGTAGAGTAAATACTGTTTTATTTACTTTCCAAATTGACTGAATTAAACTTTGTGGACAAGAGAAAAAGTGGGGTGATTTTTGATGTTTAAAAATGAAAATCACAGTAGTCTTGTCAAATTAAAAAATTTAAGTAACTCTCTCTCATAAAAATTACTATGAGTTCACTTTAATTATGAAAAGTTTTTGGCAATGTTGCACAAATTTATATCTGCAACTTTAATCGCATTCTCAGTATAAAAAGTATTTGTTATGTAGAAGGGTAAATAAGAACCTTAACATCAGGTTAGAATAATATGGCCTTATACAAAGTTCTGATTTAAGCATTTAATCAAGTTTAGATTATGTGAGAAGAGCACCGCTTCTTTTGACATAACTTTTCGCCATTCTAATGAAGCCATTGTAATTGAATCGCTGGCAGCCCTGGCTATAAATTTCATTCAATTAAAATGTTGACTCTCGCATCTACAGGTAACCGAGTTAAGCAAATTTCCCGGGCACAAAAGCTAAACAAACACATTAATTAGAGGATTTTTTGGGCTGCCTCGAAATCGGGCAGGACTCACCTGCTGCTTGCGGCCCCAAAAGGTGCGCAATTAATTGGCAAGCAGACACGCCAGCTGGAGGACCCAGAAAAGGAGGTCCTGGGGAGGCGGGAAGGCCACACAAATAAACAAATTAAATTACATTTCGAGTGCCAGGGCTGGCAGGAAGTCGAGCGTGCGACCACTAGGATCTTGAACTCCGACCGGGCGGATGACTAAGTGGATGCTGCCTTTGTCAACGGAATTTGACAGAGGAAGTCAACAACTGTGCAGCGCATTATTCAAGAGTCCTGGCTCCTGTCGGCGCAAGTAGATTGCTTAGCTCCGTTCTTAATGTAAACAGCCGGCGACAGTGTCTCCAGCTTGGATTGCACCAGCTACTCACTGCAAAGTCCTCGCAGCCTTAAAGCCCTTGGAGCGCTGCACATCTGTCATTGGCACTCTCTACTCCCAGAGGGTCCCATTTAACCAGGACCAATTTCGGGTCATGCTATCTAAGCGATTGAAATTTAAGGTGAACAACCATGGCCAGAGGATTGGGAATAAACCCCTGCCCTATACTGAAAGGGATCCAATCAATGAAATAGTCAGGATTGAGAAACTTATTGGCTTCTGCTGCTACATATTTTAATTGCATTTCTTTCATTGACATTTCAACGGGGATTTCGTTTTAATGTCATGATTCCTTTTTCTATAAGTTAACAATTGCTCCGACTGCTTTGCTTGTCAAATAATATAACCGTTTTCTAGTTAACACGCAACTTACAAAATAATTTTCTTTTCTGGAAAATACAGTTCTTGAAAACCTTTTCATGCATTCATACTGATAATGCCATTCATTTGCATTGAAAACTTAAAAGATTTGTTCTGTGTGTCCAAAAATATAATTGCCAGAATGTATGAATTACATTCCCATAGAGGATTATGGGAACAATGAGTAGTCTTTTGAGTGTACCTTTATGTAAAGCCTAAGTCCTAAAATCCTCAAAATATCCTTTACCTGGTGACAGAGCACAATTAAGTGCGAATTTGTTGGTCCATTGCCGTCACAGCCTTAATTTGAGTCTTTAAAAAGAGGCTTAATTTACAAATTTGTGCTCTTTTCAGCAGGTCTGTATCATTTGTAACTTAGTTACGTTTGTGCTGTCGTTCTCGATTATCACCTGTCATCATCAGACAGGGAGTAAAACTGGATTTGTTCTGCAGCCAATAGAGCGGAGCAGGTCGAAGGACGAAGGACTCGTGCCTTCTGCCTTCTGCCACATTCTGGTTGCTCATTTCCGGGTCGCGTATGCCATAAATTCAGCTGCCTGCTGCTGTTGGCTTATCTTAAACTCCTGCCCTCGGTAAACACGGTCCAGAAACAGAACTTGAGCCGAGTCTGACACGTTTATGGTTTATGTTTTCTTTAGCCACATTGCAGAAACGGCAGAAACAGCAGAGGCAGCGTCTTTTCTGCGTTTTTTGTTTAGCTGTTAAGCACAATTTCCTGGCACATTTCTCACTCGCACACTGGCTAAAAAAGCAAACATTTTTTTCACTTACTCACCCGCCTGATGAGGCTGTTGATGTGCAGTAAGTCAAACTGCGTGCACGGGGCCAGGGAGTTGGCATAAAAACAGGGCAACCAAATGAGAAAACCAAAAAATATGTGTGCACTGGAATAGTTTTCCAGTGAATTTTGTTTTATTTCAACTGTTTACATTTACATTTTTAAATTAAATACTTTCAAATCCAATTATTTTTATTCATACTATGTTGTCGATTAATAAAACAATTATTTGTTTTTAATTAATGATTAGTAACTTTTCTCAAAAATATATTTTTAAATCTTCAAAGAAAAAAATATTCCATTAAAATATAAATTGTAATTAATCAGTCTCAAATCTTTGTACAAATACATTTAAAATCGGTTACGATTACGAATATTTTCCCTGTGTAGATGAAATTCATACGAACAAGTAGGCGGTGGCCTGCAGCTTTCTGGTGTTTTCTCTTTATTTTTTGTGTCTGGGCCGAGAAATTTAATTGAGGCAACCTTTAAGGTTGCTGGTGAAAGCTGGGGAAAAGCTGGCCGAAAGCCAAGTCTGGCCTCTATGCAAAATGCTTTCGACCAGGCCAGCAATTTGTATATGTGTGAAAAACCTTTTGACCCTTTTCAGTTAGCTGGCTGTTGTATGCGTGCGTGGCTGGAAAAGGCACCGAAATGGAAATGGTTAAGTCATTGAATGGCCTCATGAAAGTTAAGCAAATGCCCGTTCTGCATTTATATGCGGGTATGGCCTCTTGGACGTGAAGTTGGCAACGCGGGAAATTTCCGGGAAAAGCGGTTGGGATATCGTGCCCAGCATGATGGCGAAAATTAGGTTAGTTGTTAGGTTCACATGAATTTTATAAGCGTCCTCTTTCCGTGGCCCCAAAATTAATTCCCTGCAACCTAATGGCATTTCGTCTGCACAATTGAAATTGATTCAGGACGCAGACCCACTGCAGCATCGAATCACGCCAAATCACAACATTACATTTTAGATTCAACCACAGACCCGACCCTATGGCCAAATGTTTGGCATGTATCTGTATCTGCGACAGCTGCAATAACAGTCTTTGAATTTAAATTGAAGTCAAGAGAACCGAATAGGCAATTTCTAGTGAACAGACATTCAATAAAGTGCCTGCCGGCGGCCATTTGTTGAATTTTTATGCGAGCCGTAATTATATGAAGCGATTTTCCATGTCGCATTGTTGTCTATTGAATTATTAAAACTTCCGAGACGAGGCGATGTGTTTATTGAAATTGCCTACCAACTGGCACCCAAAAAGCTTAGGGAAATGAGAAAGCTGGAGAGATGAAAACTACAGGCAAACTTCTTGGTCTCGAACTTTGGCAAATTGAATTTTAGTGTGACTAGGGTACTTTTTTGATTGCCACCTAAATTTAATGCAATTTTGCCTTTAGTAACTCAAATTTAAGCTGCAAGAGATAGAAAAACTGTAGATAAGAGGCTTACAAATATTGCTGCAGCTAACCTAATGAGAAAAATTGATAAAATATCGTATTTCTTTTAATACAGCTTGATACATAAAATTGGTATATGTCTATTATTCTTTTATTTACCCCACAGGAGTTTAATATAATTGGTTTTATTTTATTTATATTTATATTATCAATTTTGGGACCGCATTCATTTTGAAATGGTTGTATTGAAATATTATAGTAAGATAAATCAAAAAGTTTTTCCATATTTTGTCTTAGAAATTTTAAAAATGTGTTAATGTTTTCGAAAACAAACTATTGCTAATGGAAAATAGTGTCGCACAAAAAAGAAGTTTGTCTGTATTTCCGGTCGGTTCATAGAACAGCCCCGTTAAGTAGGCAACACAATTTTTACGGCTCCACGAAGCACTCCCCTGATGTCAAGTAATATGCCCGGCTTTGAGTGCCACGCCCCTTAGTGAAAAGAGGCCTAATGCCAGAATTTATTAGTGTCGCTGCCATTGTTGTTCATGTCGATAAGGAGACAGTCGAGCAGCGCCATGTGTATGTACTAGGTGGGATCCCTACATCCATTAATTCCGTGCACTATCGCGAAATTGGAATCGCATGGCGGATAGACGGGCAAAGCCCCGGTGACATTGAACAACCTTTTCTTTTTTGCAGCCTTCGTATTCAAATTAACTCAATGGTGAGCCGGCGGAATAGACTGCTATCTCTGGGCCCAAAGTATCGGTGGCACCCACTCAGGAGCTGAGCGATAAATCGCCGCCTAAAATCTTCCAAATTGCTCCCCAAGCGTTTTTGGCTTTTCGGGGTTTTTTCAGGTAAACCAAGCGAAACAAAGTGAACGGTTCGAGTGGCTCCCCACTGGCGTCCAAATCTTTGACAATCTTAATGCGAATCCAAGTCAAACACACGCACTCTGGGGGGAAAGGCGGGGAAAAGCGCCGATTTTCCGACTAACCCGAGCGAGGCGAGCCACTAAAACGACGGTAAATACGGCGAGTTAAGGACTAAGGACTCAGTCAGTCAGTAGGGATCCGTTTTGGTTGGGTCCACAAATGAAATTTAATCACGCGCGTGGCGAAAACGCTCGCCATTCAAAGCGCCGATGTTTGCTTTATTTTCGGCTTTGTAACTTGTGTGCCCCCGACCGATTTGATAA